CAGAAATAGTTCCTTGAGATCTTTCTCTCTCACGAGTGGAGTTCATCTGAAATCCATAGGCAAAACCGAGACTGACTTCATAATGCACAAAAGATGAGTATGATGCAGCGGTCTGCAGCACAGCAGCACTCAACACCTGTCCATCAGTCAAATCAGCACACACTACTTCAGACAAACCATTATCATGACGACAATTAAGTGATTTCAACGTACTCTTGAAGAAAATACGAAACACTGCAGGATATTACAATGCACTACAACAATACACCTTTTCTGAATAAAACTGACCAAGAATCATGTGACACAAGAAAATATTTACCAGATTTTAAGGAGATAATTTACCACCACACGATCATTCCGTCACGATTTCAAACCTGTTTGACTTTCATTAAAGATGATATTTTGAAGAACACTGGGAACCAAACGACACTGAACCCACTGACTTTCAACTAATATCTGTCCTCTATCCGTCCAAACACCAAACCCAGAGCGGACTGTATGCAGCTGTGATCGTCCTTACCTGAGCTCCAGAGCTGCGCTTTCCAGAGACGGCTCTCTAAAATCACTTACCTTCACCCATCAGAAACAGAGACAGACACTGAAGCGCAGACAGCGAGAGAGCGAGCGAGCGGCGGGTCCTTCGACAAGTGGCTGGCAGCTGGAAAACGGCCCTGAACGCAGTTTGTGAACGAGTGGAGCGAGATCGGGAGCGAACTAGCCAGAGGAGTTAGTGAGACGGAGGGGTCAGGAGCAGGAGAGGAGCCTGGGACGGCCGGAGCTCATGTGGGGCTCGTATGTGGGGTTGGAGGTTAGTACTTTAGTAAAGAAGAGCAGGTCAGACACAAAAATGGTTGTTAGTACAGTTACAACAAAGGTTTAATTCGGATTAGTAACAGAATTTGGGTTTTAGTCAATTAGTAGAGCAGTCAATTGGTGAAATCCTTTGTGACTTGATTCCACGAGAGAGATTGGTCCGAATTGTCACGTCTGGTGGGTTTTGAGGTTAAGAGGAAACAAAATAAACCATCCAAAAGAGTCAGAACATGGGGAAGAAGCCATGCAGCTGAGTGAGCAGATGGTGTCGATGGGAATGAGCTGCGGATGAAGGGCAAAGCGAACGCTGAGCGCAAGCCGATGGCGGAGAGAGTCAGAACACAGTCACAGCACGACACAGATGGAGGAACGGCGACATTTAGTTGATTAAGGGGTTAAATCTGAGGCGGGACACAACACGATGAGCACTCTGAGTCCACAGGTTTGCGTGCAAGCCGAGACGCGCTGGTTCGTTCGGCTTGGGCATCGCAGACTCCCTCTCACTGCGGTGAACGGGATGAAGCAGATGAAGCATGCACACAACCGTACTGAAGATACCAAAGAAACACAGCAGGAGAGGCCACTCGTGATGCTAGACATGAGTGGAACGAGCTGGCAGATAACTAAACGTGGCTGTCTCTGCCTCGGAAATATTGTTATTCTAGAGCGCCGGAGCCCTGCCAGAGCTCATTAGATCGGTGTAATGGCATACTAATGTGAGCGGGAGGATCTGGAGCTGACCCTTCGACCAGATCTACTGAGCCCTGATGTGAAGTTATTCCTATCAGAAGGGGGCGTGGCTCATCTCTATAGGGTCTGCTAGATCAGAAATATGCATATGTGTATATAGAGTACACACATATACCGCTGGACCAGAGTAAGAGTGTTTCTGCTGAACGAGTTTCATTATTGAGTTAGTATCAGTGTTAATGAACACAGGTCCCACATTGCAGAAACAGCTGTGGGCGGGGCTGTGGGCGGAGCCTCGTGTTTGACGAGTCCAGTGACAGGCAGTGAAGAGCTACAGCTCACGATAAAGCTCATCGACACACGCCTCACAACGCCTTTGGACCAGTGCTGTTACTGTTAACTACAACTATAGAGCTGAAATAAAATTAAAATATAAATATTAGATGTAAAATGAAAACTAAAACTAAAAAAAGAATAATTAAAAAACATTAGGCAAGGCAAGTTTATTTATATAGCACATTTCATACACAATGGAAATTCAAAGTGCTTTACATAAAAAGAAAATCAAGGAATTAAATTTAATTTTTTTAATGAAATTGCATTTACAACTGAAATAAAAACAAATAAAAAAATATCAAAAATTGTGTTTGTTAATTGAAAAAGCTTAAATATGAATATTAGATATAAATAAGTTTAAGCTTAAGTACTAATATTACTAATTACTAATATGAGTTAAAATTCCTAAAACTGAAATGAAATTCAAATAAAGCTAAATAGAAATAAACAAAAACTAAAAAAATGACAAAAGCACATAACAAATAGACTAAAACGAAAATTCTAATGAAAATGGAAAGTATTCAAATGAAAGCTAATTCTAAAAGAACACTAATTACTAAAGAGCACTGGTTTGGTCTGACAGTTCAATAAAGCGCAGATCTGCAGGTGATTCTCGTCTGCCAAACAGCAGAACAAACGCCGTCGCTGTGAAGCTTCCTGGCATCAATAAAGCCTCCCTTGGAAGTTATAAGGGCTACTACGCTTCAGTAATAATTAACTGTTCATGTTTAATAATTAGGTTAGTTGTCCTGTGGGTATGTACACTAATGAAATCATCACTCAGCAAACGAACCCAAAAGCGTGCAGCTCGGGTCGGGCTCTGATCGCTGCATTTCTGATCTGTTGAGTAAATCTGAGCGCCTCTTGTAATGGGGTTCTGGCCCTCGTTTCAGACCGTGTTTTACGGCCAGGCCTGCCCACTCTGAACCGGGCCGTAAATCCAAAGCTCCAGGAGAGACGGAGGTTCTGGCTGCCAAGCATCACCGTGAGCCTGATGTCAAAAGAGCTGTCATTATCAGCTAACGGCCTGCAGGCTATAGTGATGCTGAACACCAGAGAGACTCAGTATCATGACATTCACTGTAAGACTGGACATTCACACCTCAGCTCACAAAAAATATGTTGAACTGAAAACATTATTTCTGACCGTTAAAAACGTCCATTTTTTTTCTCAGTTGTACAAACATTCCATTTGATCATTTTGCAAACGTTACTGGAATGTAACATCTGAATGTCCTCTGAATGTTTTGAGACAAGCAGTAACATTTAAAAAATGTTTCAGAAAAACATTCCATGAGCGACGTATACATAACGTTTTTGTGCTAACATCATTAAAGACCAGATAACTTTGAATGAACGTTCTATTTACGTTACTGGAAGAACGTTTGTTCAGAGAATTTGTTCTGAGAATGTTCCCTCCCTGCTGAAAAAAACATTAGACACCATCACAAAATCTGTAATAGTTTTACTGGTTATAACGGGACTTGTAGGGTACAACGGGGCTAAAGGCACACCCTGAGATAAAATGTGCTATTCACTGCTCCTAAAATGCATAATTGCAGAAAAAATATATACATTTCTATTGAACATTAATGGAGCAACAGATTTTGTGTGAAAATAAATCATACAAATTGTTTACTTTGTTTAAAAATCAAAGGTGGCAAGGGGGCAAAAGGCACACAGTATTGATACAAATACTTCAGCTAAAATGATGTTTTGTTTAATAATGTCTAAGTTAATACTTACTCAAAACAATCACTTTAGCAAAGTTCGTACTATATTCTGCTTATTTTGAAAAATAAAATAACTATTTTTTTGTTCAATAAGTATACTGTCATTAAAATATGTTAATATAAAAATATATTTTAAAATACAGAAATGAAATCATTTTAAAAAGTAAGGATTCTGAAAGCATTGAAGGAGATCCCATAATAATTGAATATAGATTTACAGTAGTAACAACAAATGATATTTTATTATATGATATGATTAATATTTTGTAAATATGATGGTTTCATTCTAAACATGGTGATTATCTCTAATATGGACACCCAACATAATATATGATATTTACCATCTGAATCTAATGTCATGTCAACAAATGGAAAAGTCAGCCATCTATTAATTATCATGTTAATTACTGTGCTTTTAGCCCCAAATACCATACTTTTACATATTCTTTCGTTATTTAAAAACTGAAAATCATTAAGAAGACATTTGTCTCAAAATATATGCATTAATTTTAGCAATCCTCATTTGCTACTTAAATCTACAACATTTAAAAAAAAAAATAAAAAAAAATCAAATATTAGATCAAGTAAGCACAGAATCAACTTTGAGCTGCTGCGTGCGATCGCGTCAAGGATCAGACAAATATACACGTGCATCTTGAAAAGCGGATGTTTTGGAAAGTGTCTAGTGGTCTAGTGTTCCATCTAGTGGTTTAGATGGAAATAATATCAAAGGCGCCTTTTGCCCCGTTGTACCCTATTAGTTTTAATAGAAACTGTAATGGTCCCTGTGGGTTTCTACTGGTAATTGGTCACCTTCTATTATCTTCTATCTGGCTTGTTAAAACCACTAAATCCTAATGGAGCATGTCCATGTTCTTTAGTGGTTGTAATGGTTAAAAGTTGATGGTTTGTAATGGTATTTGTAGTGAAAGCCATTAGAATCATTGTTTATTTCGACCAGCTTTATCGAGTTCCTTAAATCCTTACTGCCTGCCACTGGGGTCATTTACGATCACTCAAATTAACGTTCATATCGGTTAAGAGGGTCATAAATCATACTGGGTAAGTTGAGTAAAGGGGAGGCGCAGCCACAGTTAAACATAAACTTTCATCGTTCTCTGTCGAGAAACTTCTTTATTTCAGACGAATCGATCACGATCACATGGACCGAGAAACCAAGCGTTTAACCCGAGATCTTTCTGAGAGGAGGGGAGATGCAGGATGGACAAAACAAAGAGAAAACCATGAACGAATGACACAGTGAAAGGAAAAGAGTGGAGGTCTGTAGTCTGATCGCTACCTTGATACCAATGGGGATTTGTGTAGTCAGTATAAGCAAACAGAATAGAAATAGAAAACGGAAATCCAGGGCAAACCAAAGTAGAAGACAATTAGAATGATATCTACCATATAATGCAGTTTGTTTACCATAGCGTGTCCAATGCCTGAGTGCTTTAGGAAAAAAACAAGGGAAGGGAAAGAAAATATATAGAATAATGACAAATCGTGAAGTCAATAAAGGTCTTTTGAAGAGCGGCGGTCTTAAACCGGCCTTCGCTCTCTCTTTTCCTAATGTGGTTTTTGTGCAAGAGAATCAAAATCCAAATCCAGAACTAAAGCAACAGAATCTCTCCATCGAAGGATTTGTCAAGCAAAACAAAAACATGACAACAGTATTGTTATTTTGGTTAGTACGTCAGTACGCAAGTTAATTTGGAAAACAAGGGATGGCCCGCATTCCGTGAATGACACGATGTTAGTCGCTTCAAAGGAACACAAACAGGTCAAAACCAAACACAAAATCCAAAATGAAACTGGAAGAACTTGAAGCTGTGGGGTTAGTAAGAAGACACAAGAGTTAGCGAAACCATTCTCCACATGAAGAAGGGATATATGTGGGAGAGATCGGGGGAGGGGCTGATTGGAGTGGGAGGGGCTAGAGGAAAAGCATTCAGATTGGCTAGTCCTGTGAGTGGGCGTGGCCTGTTTGCGGGCGGGGCTCTTTACAGGCCAATTGGGCCAGACTTGGGTTTCGGAGCAAAGTGAGAAATCGCTCGTCTCTGGCTGACGACTAAAAGGAGGCAAAAACACAACCGAGTTAAACAGTGAGACATCAACAACATCTTCAGGAACAAAACAGCTCATTAACAAAACAGGTTAAGAAGGAAACATGCGGTGCTGCCATCTCGGACCTGGAAGAAAAGACCATTGTGATTACAAAACATCATCCAGACCTCATAAAGATGCAGATTCTGATCCAGACCCAAGCCTCCGCACTAGCGTGTGCATGACCTCTGACCTCTGACCTCAGGCGCTGTGACCCAGAGGTTTCTGCTCGGAGGGAATACATTAAATCAGTTCTGAGTAGCAGTTAGCGGCGGTCTAGAGGAGGATTTACAGAGACGCTTCCCTGAGCAAAACCCTGCTGAGACCGAAGACACAAGACTGATATCTGATGTCCCATGCAGTGTTTAGAGCTCAGCGCTGAGATCCAGAAGATGAAGACTGTGATGTGTGTGATCACATTAAAAGTCAGACTTTTGCAGCTTGAAACAAATTGCAGAATGGTGCAAAACACTCTTCATTTGATCAAATAAATTATAAATACACACTAGATACACTACCGGGTTCAGTATTTTTTTAGTTTTATTTTTTTATTAATAATCAAAGTGAGAGTAAAGACATTTATAATGTAACAAAAGATTTCTATTTTAAATAAATGCTGTTCTTTTTTCTATTCATCTGTGAATCTTGAAAAATAATAAAACGCATCACTATTTCCGCAAAAATATAGTTCAGCACAACTGTGTTCAACATTGATAATAATCAGAAATGTTTCTTGAGCAGCAAATCAGCATATTAGAATGATTTCTGAAGATCATGTGACACTGAAGACTGGAGTAATGATGCTGAAAATACAGCTGTGCATCACAGAAATAAATTACAGTTTAACAGATATTCACATAGAAAACAGCTGTTTTACATTAGAATAATATTTCACAATTTTAGTGTTTTTTCTGTATTTTTGATCAAATAAACGCAGCCTTGGTGAGCAGAAGGAACTTTTTAAAAACATTAAAATTCTTACTGATCGCAAACTTTTGAACAGCAGTGAGATATACTAACATATATTGCATTCATAAATATTAATTGTTATTATTCATTTTCAAACCGTATTAATACAATACATAGTTGTGTGGATTTTATTTGTTTATTTATTTCTTTTTTTAGGCCGGATCTAAAAATGACCATCCACTTTCGGTCTTTAAAACACTTCCCTTCGCGTGGAACTGAAGACATGCGTAACGACTCGAGCAGAGAATGCTGATTCTGAGTGGGCCGAAAAATAATTCAGTTTGATTGATTTGTAAAGAGCTTCTCATAACACATATTGTTCCAGAAACAGGTGACGGATGTGAGTGTTTATAGAGCCGCTGAGAAATATGAAAATGCACTTTCACAATCTGTGAATGTGACCTGCGCGTCTGTCATGGAACCAGGCTGATCGAGTGTTTGTGAGGAGAGAATGAGAGAACAAGAGCTGAATTTATCACACACACACACACACACACACACACACATACACTCGCACGCATGCACGCTCACAC